TGAACCGGGGCAAGAATCGAATGCGAATGCGATTGCGGATGCAAATACGATTGCGAATGCCAGTTCCGATGCAAGTGAGAATGCCAATGCGAATGAGACTGACCCCAGGGCGAAGATACGGCGCGGCATCACCAATGGCATCACCAATGGCAACAGTTGCAGCAGCCATAGCAGCCGAACTATCAACAGCAGCAGCAGCGGCGGCAGCAACAACAACCCAAACACAAACACAAATACAAGTGCCAAACAAAACACCACCATTTCCGAATTCGATGCCATCCAGCACCTCATCAAGGGAAACCTGGGGCCGGGGTGCCTGAACATCCCCCACGCCTTTGCCCTGAGCGGCTGGGTCCTCGGCATGGGCCTGTTCGCGCTGGTGGCCGTCCAGGGGATCTATTCCATGGTGCTGCTGGTCTACTGCAAGCAGTGGATCCGCAGGGACCGGATCCGCAAGAGGCGGGCGCGATCCCTGGCCGCGGGGGGYGAGGAATCCCGAGACCAAGTGCAAGACGACAACGACAACGACGAGCCGATCCGGACCTTTATGGACGTGGCCCGGGCCTCCCACGGGAGGGCCGGATCGGTCTGCATCCAGGTCCTGCTCTTTGTCCTCCAGGCCGGCGTCTGCTGCGTCTTTCTCAGCCTCATCGCCACGAACCTGCACGCGTCCCTCCCGCACCTTCCCCAGGAGTGGTGCGTCTGCGGGGTGACGGTCTGCCTCATGGTCGTGGTCCTGCTCCGGGACCTCAGGGAGCTGCGGTGGCTCTCCCTCGGGGCCAACTGCCTCATGCTGGTGGCCGTCCTGACGGCGTCGGGCTCCGCGCTCTGGGTGCTGTGGAAGGGGGACGGCGGCAACGAAAACGACAACGACGACACCGGCGACGATCCATCGGGCAGGGCGAAAAAATGGACCACCGATCCGGCCGCCATTGCCACCTTCGTGTCGAGCATGTTTTATTCCTTTGAGGGAATCGGATTGGTCATGCCCGTGGAAAACTCCTACGTGGGGTATTTTCTTGGGAGCAGCGACGATAACGATAACAATAACGAAAACGAAAACGACGACGACGATGCCAACCACGACCACGAGGCCCTGCCGGCCGGTGCTGCGGGGGGCGAGGGCCACGTCCCGGTTGCGAGCGAGGAGGCCGACGGMCCCYCCGATCCGGAGGAAGCCCGCAGGGCCTCCCGGACGGCGTCCTTTGTCCATCCCGTCCTGCTGGTCTCCATGGGGACCGTGGCGGTCCTCTTCTTGCTCMTCGGGGCGACCTGYGGACCGGCCTTTCCGGACATTCTCGACGGGAGCGTCACGGCCTACCTCACCACCCGGTACCCCAACAGCAAGTGGTACCAGCTGGTCAACGCCAGCGTCATGCTGGCCGTCTTTCTGACCTTTCCCCTGCAGCTCACGCCGGCGATGGAGGTCCTGGAGGAGTGGTTCGGGCCCGGGTGCGATCCGGTGTGCTGCGGGGGGGGGGAATCGGTGGCCCCTTGCTGCTRCCCYKGGCTGCGGAAGGYCCGGCCGGGCGGGAGGCACGCCGTCGTTCCCCAGAACGACGGGATCGGACGCACGGACGCAAGCAGCGCCGGCCACGGGGACGGCCTGTTCCGGGAAGGTGCTCCTTCGGCGGTGGCTCCGCCACTGCCGGGCCTCGGGCCAAGCGGCGCGGTGTCCTGCTTCGGTTCCGGCGAGTGGATCTTCCGGCGGTGGCTCGTCGTGGTGGGCTGCGCCCTGGTGGTCCTGACCGTCGACGACCTGGGCCTCCTGRTGAGCCTCTTCGGGGCGCTCGGGAACACGGGGCTGGCCGCCGCCCCCTGCATCGTCCACCGGAGGCTGGTGGGGGACGGGATCGCCCCGCACCACCCTTGCCTGGCGGCGATGGACGCCTGCACCGTCGCGGTGAGCCTTTGCGTGGCGGTGGCGGGGGTCGTCTTTTCGGTCCGGGAAATCCTGGCCGGGAAGGAACCGGGGCGGTAGCCGAAGAAGCAGCAGCAGAAGCATCGGCTGGTACGGAAGAGACAATCCAAAACCCATTGCCAATAGCGAGATGGRCAACCTCGCTGCCAATCGAGTGGTGTGTGTGGAAATGCCAGAACCATCGGATTCGAATGGTCCTTACGGCTGGATTCCTGCGCGACAACCTTTTTTGGTAAACCAAAAAAATKCCAGAGCAGAACCAAGAAATGCCTGGCGTCTCGGAGATGCGAAGAATTGTGAATGATGGAATCGACGGTAGCTTGTAACCTCTCACCAAACCAAAACAGTCGTTGCGGCYAAACTAGCTGGTAAGGGACGATCCTCACTCCAAACCCAAACCCAAACCCAACCAGAACAACCCCAAGATGCCGAGTGCGTTCTAGGTACTGCCGAACGGACCACTAGCAAGCTCCAGATCCTGGGTTTTCTTTGCCGTGAATAAAATATAGACACTGCGAAACAAACACAGCAATCATAGTAGCCGCCGATTGATATTCCCACGTCTAGTAACTCCAAGCCCGCCCATGCCACAGCCATCCCGGAATTTGTAGCCAATGCCTGCTCAATGTTCGGCGCGTGTTTGGCAGAAAGAGTAGGAAGAAACAGGAGCTCTTTTCCTCTCCTCACCAATACACACTCACCGATACATCGGCGCGTGTTTGGCAGAAAGAGTAGGAAGAAATAGGAGTTCTTTTTCCTCTCCTCACTCATTACCACCAGCAAGAAGAAGAGARGATTTCATCCCATTGCAAACGTGGCTTCGAGCCAGATGCACCCGCAGATAATTATTGTTCTGCGTGTTCTCTCTATCACTATGTGCTCTCAAAGATTTCCATTGATAGCCTTTTCGTTCCTGGGAAGAAACCTGCGGCACCGTTCCAAAAATTGGGTCTGACAGCGTTGTACGATAGACCCCGAAGTAAGTCTAGAAGTACAGTACTGTAACTACTACGGTAGTCTACTTCCCTACGTACTTAGTAGGTTCGTACGTATTCCTAGCGGACATACGTTCTTTACATACGAAAACAAACATGAGCTAGTTTTTTGAACGAGGAAAAACCTACCAGTACTTCTGTACTGGTACCTATGTAGGTCCCTGTAGAAGTCAAAAGTACGTACGAGAACTAGAAGTAATACGCAAGGAACGTACGTAYCAGTTGGCACGTAGAGTATTTTACTACGTACATTTTACCGGAATGGATGGATGGATAGATGGACGGTTGATTTCTATCTTGATGTCGTTCGTTGTTTCGTCCCTTCTGTCGAACCTATCAAGAATTGTCGCGATCGGATGTTCAACATCAATCACACCTCTCGCSGGAAATTACTGTACCTCACAGCAGTCTATATCAGCATCGCGAGCCCTCACAAGCCATTGTTGATTGATTGTCACCGTCACCGCGCAATCCAACAAACCACACAACACAGCTCAGCGCGACACAACCATGTCTTTTGGCAAATCGTCCGGCCCGAACCACGACAGCACTCGGGTGATGGGCCACCGCAGGCGGTCCCTCGGAATCGCCCTGCAAGTGGGCTGCTTGCTCTGCGGTTGGTCTAGCGCCCCGGCCCCGGCCACCGCGTTTTCGATCCACGGACGGGTGGGGGGTCTTGCTCTCGACCGGCTAAGGATTCGATCCCCATCGGCGCTGCACATGGCAAAGGCCGCGAAAAAGAAAAAGACCAAGAAAAAAGGGAGCGGCGGCGGCGGAGGCGGCCTGAAGGGCTTTGGGTCCGTCGGGGGATCCAAGAGGGACGAGCAGGTGGACCTCGATCGATCGAAGGAGGCCCGSTCGTTCTACGGCTTTATGGAAGACGGCGGTGCCGGCGACAACCTCTCCCGGTGCGCGATCGGGGGCTTTCCCGTCGGGACCGGCGAAAAGGCCTTTCGGCTCCGCGGCGTTGCGGCCCTCAAGCCCGTCAAGAAGGGGGACGCGATCGTCAACATCCCCTACGAGCTGGCGGTGAACCTCGGCAGGGAGGGAGCGGACCCCACGGTTCCGGCCGTGGCCTTTCTGAGGGACTACTGCGAGACCCTGGGGAGCGGAGGCGGAAGCGGCGACAGGGCCGCGTACTATTCCATGCTGCCCCCGTTCGGCGGAGCCGACTGCCTGGGGAGCACGGATTTCTTTTCGGACTTGGCCCTGGAGGAGCTCCAGGCCCCCCTGGTGGCCGAGGAGACCAGAACGCGCAGGAAAAAGACCTCGTCTCGGTTCTTGTCCGACGTCGCCCCCCTGGTGGAGACCGGCGGGTTTCCCTCGTGGACCGACGGATCGGACGTMACGGAGGACCACCTGGCCTGGGCCGTCTGGCTGGTCACGTCGCGGGTCCTGACGGTCCAGGGMGAGGCCTCCGAGGGCAACTCGTACCGGCTGCTCATCCCCTTTCTGGACATGTGCAACCACGACCGGGGGTCCCCGCACGTCCTGTCCGGGAGGGCGGTCCCGGGGGGCGAGCTCAAGGTGGTGGCGGGAGCGCCGGTGAAGGAGGGCGACCAGGTGAACATTTGCTACGGAGGGGGCATGGTGGGCAACGATCGCTTCCTACAGGGTGCGTTTTGGATTTGGGTTTGGGTTTTATTTTGATTTGATTTGATTTGATTTGCTTTTGATTTGCTTTTGATTTGTGGATTTGCTTTGCTTTTGATTTGTGGCGTTTGCGATGTCATTGGATCGGATGCAAGTTGCTCCATTCCGAAGCCTCTCTCTCTCTCTCTGTGGCATGTGGTTCTGATCCGTGCCGTGTTTTGAACTCTGCGCCCGTGCTGATGTGTGYTTCCTTTGGTTTCGATTTCGAACCGTTTCTCCCTTTCTCTACAGACTACGGCTTTCTGGACACCAGCAGCAACGGCGTGGCGTACGACATGGTGGCGCAGCAGCTGCTGGGGAAGAGGCGCATCGTCGAGGGCATCGGTTCCGGGCGGTTCATGTCCGAATCGGACCGGGCGCGGACCCTGGACCGGCTGGGGGAGACCTCCCTCGAARACGACGAACGGCTGCTGGAGGAGACCAGCGACCCCTCCCTCGCCGCCGCGTACAGCTACCGGATAGGCGTCAAGAAGGCCCTCTCCCGGCTCGGTCGGTCCGATTGATGGACGGGGTTTGGGAACGCTTGCTTCGTGCCTCGCCGAAGGGTTGGAACGAATGCCACACCGAAATCGATCGGTGGAGAGGCTTGCGCAATCTAGTCTAGTCTAGTCTGGTCTGGTCTGATCTAGCATTGTATAGAGAGTACAGTACTATACTTTTTGTTTATTGCTCTCTTACTCGTGCCTGCCTTGCACGTCTTRCGAGGCCTCATCTATGGTTTATGTTACTGGTGAACTGGATTCCATCAAATCGTACACGGAACCGTTGTGGTGTGTCTCTGTATCTGTATCTGTTCCGTTTCGGTGGCTGCACCGTCGTCGTTTGCGGGGTTCAGAAACCTTGCCACGGATGCATGGATCGGCGTTGCGTTGCGTTGCTTTGTATCGACTCGACTCGACTCGTCCCGCCCCCCGCGTCCGCAACAATCGTCCTAGACGGACAGATCCAGGTCGTCGTCGTCGTCGTCCAGAAAGCCGGCGTCCGMGAACTTGTTGAGCTTGCTGGAGGGGTCCTTGACGTTGAGGCCGGCAAACCTGGCGACGCCCAGGAACTCGTCCATGGCGTCGTTCTGGAGGGCCTCCTTCTCCTCCTCGATCTGCTTGATGAAATCCCCCTGCTCGTTCATCTTGTAGCCGTCGAAATACCGGCGGTCGCCCTTGGCGTACTCCTCCGGGGTGATCTGCCGCTGGCCGCCGATCCCCCAGCCCCCCGTGCCGTTTCCGTCGAACAGGGCCGTCGCCC